GACTCCCATGGTGGTAGAATTGTTACAGATGATCAAATGTCTCAGGCAAGGAAGCACTGGAAACAAATGCAAAGGAAATCCTCCCAAAATGTATTCAAATGATTTCATACTGAGTCACTGTCTCATAGTGCTGAAGTACTTCTGGCATGCACTCTTAATAATGTAAGATATAGGGAAATACATACATATATATATATACATACACATATATACATATATATATGGAAAAGGAATTATGCACTATTAAAAAGTACGCTTTTGTGGAATGGGAGGGAATCCCTTGAAGATTGTGTTTTATAGTATTACTATTCTATGGCTTTTATGTTCTTTCCATATGTCATTCAACTCCTTGAATCAAAAATTCACTCTTTATTGAACACCAGATATTGACATGGGTTGATTTCTTCCTTATTTAAATCTTCCCTTGAATTAATGCTCTTATCCATATATAGAGGACTCTCCCAGGCTTTGTCTTATGATATCTATAAATCTCACTGCCTTCTTTCCATATGTTCTTTCCCCAGTTTTCTTTCATTACACGATCCACATCATTCTAGTTTCCATTGCTACACATCAGAGTTCTGTCTTCTTGTTTCTTCTGTCTACCTTGTCTAAAATTAACTAAAATAAGCAAAATCTCCAAAGCAAATGTTATGGAACCCTTGATGTTACTCTTATGAAAGTACAATATAGTAGAAATGTGGTATGTGGTAGATACAAATCATTGGAAATCTTAATCCCACAGATCAAGACAGATGTACTCTGGTCATTTTAAATTCATGTAAGTAATGATTCCATCTATTACTTAAAGTGCTGCTTTTCCTACTTTGGTGCATTCTTTATTCTTTCCGAATTTGGCTATTTAGGCAGAAATTTAAAAATTAGCAACTAAAGTAATGAATGACATAACATGATATATAGACACTAGCTCTGGTGCAATTACATATAATTGAGGATATTGAAGATGATTTAATGAAATGCAATAAAACTTATTCTGGATAAACTCTGTCATCTATGTTTGGTAATAAGTGGTAGAAGTCTAATGAATCTGCCCTGTAGTACAAACAGAATTCTGATAGTTTCATGCATTCCAGAGAAAAAAGGAAAATAACATTAAATTACTTTAATGAAAAACACTTACATTTAAGAAAAGATAAGAATATGAATGGAGTTTGGATACATTTCCGTACTTGTGGAAATGAATCCTCAATGTAAAATGACTCCGTTAATAAGCTATTTTTTCCTGATAGGAAGAGTTGAGGGACTGAGTGGAGACAAGATGCAGAAGGAATTAAACAGTAGAGAACATTCTAAGAGGAACAAATGGTAGAGTGACTAAAAAATATCCTGTTGTTTTTTTTTTCATTCTGATAAATCCCTATTTATATTTCTTGGAGAGATATGGTACATTTGACCACTTCATTTTTGCATGTGATACAAAATAATAAGAGCAACCAGCCTGCTAAGAATTCAAAGCCAGATGGTGTATGTGTGTGTCATGCTGAGTTGATGGTTTGGAAATGCCAGCTCTGCAGAATGGCTAGAGCTGAATAATGCTTCAAGGTAATCCTACTTAAGATTCACTTGTGCATCTCCATATGAATTTCACAGTCTTAAGTTAATTTAGTGAATTTTAAGTTGAAATGGGCAATGTGATACACATATATAGGCAATAGAGTAAAAGGTCTCTAATGTGATTTGTTAGCTGTCAGCTCAAATCAAATTCTAATCAAGTAGCAGAAATCTAAAGTGGTTTAACAGTCTTGGCGTAACTGTTTCTTAGATGAGCAAGTAATTACAAACCAGTCCATGGCTCTCCCCAGGTAATGGTGAACTGTTCCATAATTTTTAGGGATTATTTTTGGAGGATTAGCCAGTGTGAGTTAAAAAATAAATTCATTAAAAAAATCACAAAACCCTACAATTCTTTCTCTGTCTCCTGATGTTTGGAAATGAGGAGAAAATCATTTTGTTGTCCGCCTTTCCCTAATCTCCACAATACTCACTTTGAGGAAGGTTTCCACAGCAGTTCAGGTGAGGTGGGGGTCATCTGGGGGCCACAAGCAGAGTAGTGCTAGTGGGGAGGTCTGCAGATGGGGGTAGGGGGCCACCAGGTCATAATTAGGGGGCTGCTGTGTCAGGTGACGCTATTGGATAAGAAGATGAATCAGCTGTAGAAAGGATAAGACTTCATAACACCATGAATTCTATAAATTTGGCAAAATGTTGCTTAGGCTATCACATTTATATTCACAGAATTTCTTTTGCTTTTTTCTTCTGGAATACAACATTTTGTTTCTCCCCTTTCTTTTGCATTTTAAGGTTCCCCCACTTCTTAAATCTTTATAAAAGCATCTATTTCCCAAGAATCAGTGAATCATCTGTTTATTTAACAAACATTTCTTGAATAGTTTAGCCCCAAATTAAATCAGTTTGATTCCTCTGTTTGCTACATATTTAAGATCATTATGTCTTCTTACTGAGTTGAATTTTTTATCATTATGAAGTGTTACTCTTTATTTTTTGGTAATATTCTTGAAATCCATTTTTGGGCATTCATAGAGCTGTTTCAGCTTTCTTATGATTAGTGTTTATAACCATTTACTTTGAACAAATCTATATTATTATATTTAAAGTGCTTTTGTTTGTTTTTTAAATACAGTCTGTCAATCTCTGATTTTTAATTGGAGAGTTTAAACCATTTGTATTTAATGTAATTATAGGCATGTTTATTAGTTCCCTGCATTTCTTTATATTTTACTTTATATAAAGAAAATTTATCCTTAAAATTGTCTTTCCATTTTTTGAAATTTATCTTATTGGTGTGAAAATGTAGAATTTTTTTTTCTGGTTCCTTTTTTGTGTTTAATACTCTACTGTGAGAATGAAAACTCGATGTATGCTTAGAATTCCTTGTATGAATATAACATAATTTATTTATCCAGTCAACTATTGAGACATTTATATTGTTTCAGCCTTGTTGAAGCAGTGAATGCTGAATTATGCTTAACTTTCACATGGCTATGACTAATATGCATGTATGAGAGTTTCCATAGGGAATTACTACCTTCATAGTGAAGTCACTAGATAATAGAATATATGCATCTTTACCTCACTAGATATTGCCAATTGTTGAAAATGGTTGTCCCAATTTGCATTCCCATGATAAAGTTCCTGATTATTTTGTACCCTTACAACCCTTGGTATTGTCAGAATCAAATTATGAGTAATTATATGGGTGAGAATTATGTCATAAATTTGCATTTCTTTGGTTATTTATCAGGTAGGGCACCTTTTAATATGTTCACTGGCCAGATTGGCTTGGGGATTACCACTCTCCAGTCCAATAGTATGGTCACATCCACTTCTCAAACTCCATTAGGATTGACATAAAGATAAAACATGTAAAGGATAAGATATGCTATGGAAAAGTTTCCTATGTATGAAATTATTCCCTGAGTCATTTATATTATTTCTGGTCATCACACCATGGTTGTTCAGTTGGGCCATACTCAGTTGTGACGGTCTCAGCTTCTCCTACTCTAGTTTTCTGGTTGTAGAAATAACAATAATCTTAAGTCATCAAAGTTAAAAGATTGGCTAAGATGTAAGGAAGAACAGAACATTACTCTTGCTAAGATGGGCTAACAATAGCAGGGTTTGGTGAGCTCCAAAGAGCACAGCGATTGTAATATATATATAATAACACTGTAGGATTTCTGTTTATTTGACTAAGCCAAATGGTGATAGAATTTCTATTATTTGTAATGTTCAAAGTGGCTTAGACACAAGTTTGAACAGAATGATTGACAATCAGAGTGTGCCAGTGCTCTGCCAAGGGATGGAACCTGGTGGTTTTGAGGGCCCTTCTTCCCTTTGTTCTGTGCCTCAGTAAGGAACCTAGTAGGGCCTTCACAGATTCTTTCCACAGCCAACAGACACTTATAAAAATAATATTTGCAATGTTTTATAAAGAGATAATGAGTAAAATTGTACCTTTTACAAATATATCATTAGTAAATTATTTCTGATAGCAGAAACCAGATTCAAGGGTAGAAATTCCCCCTGAATCTCTTCTTGGTACTAAATGGGTATGACTTTGAACCCAGGGGATATATTTTCTGTCCTTTCCATAATCTGAATTATCATTTGCCAAGCTGTACTACATATGCTTCCTGACTTCACTCTTAGCTCTGGATCATCAGTACTTTTCTGCCATGCAGGAATTTCACAAATTACTAGGCTATAGTGTTCAGTGTCCTTCCCCAACAATAGTCCAAGTAAAACATAGCTGATGTAAGTACTTCAGTTTGCAATTGTTTTAGGAATGGACAACTGGAAGCTTTTTTAGGAAAATAGTGTGGGTATCTACATTTACATTACTTTGAAAAGTTTTTTTTCCACATAATCAGAAAACCTGAGAAGGAGGTGATTTCATTCAATTTTAATAACAAAATCTCTCCATACCAGTTTTGATCATTACATTCATTTGACTTCATTATGACTCAAAGTCTAGAAGATTTCTACCATTTGCTTTGGTGGAGAAATTTCTAAATCTGAGAGATTAAAGCATAGGAAGGTTTCTTTCCTTTCAGAAGAAATTATCTCCTTTATTATTCAGACTACCTTGACTCTTTTCTTTGTACTTCTTCAATGTTTGTCAAACTCTGCGAGTCAATACAATCAGACCACAGATGTGATATTTTAAAATAATGGGCATGGTGTTAGGATAATCGATATTGCTTGTTGTTGGGCGTATTCAGACTTGTGTGTGTTGCATGCATGTTTTACAGTTATCCTGAGCTGAGCAAAAATGAGAGCAGTGTTTTTAAGATGGATTTTCTCCCCTGTGATAGAATATTGTAAATTTCTTACTCTATTTTTGTTTGTAGGGCCAACCTTTTAAATGTGCTTCTGATTCTCTGACATCACATGTCATACTGCTGTCCTATCTTGGGTCTCTTCAGATCTTAAAGACTAATACCACTGTCTCCCTCCAGGTCATCCAGGCTGTCTTCTTTGGCATCTGTGTGCTGACTGATCTCTCTAGTCTTCTGACTAGAGGAAGTGGGAACCAAGAACAAGAGAGGCAGCTCAAGAAGCTCATCTCTCTCCGGGACTGGATGTTAGCCGTGCTGGCCTTCCCTGTTGGTGTTGTAAGTATGACACACAATGCATTTAATCATTTCAGAAACTCATAGGGCTCATTATAGGAGATTTCTGTGTTAGTGTGTTAGGGCTGCCAGCACAAGGCACCATAAACTGTGGGCAGTTTAAGCAACAGAACTTTATGATCTCACAGTTCTGGAGACTAGAAGTCTGAGATCAAGGTCTCCGCAGTGTTGGTATGTTCTGAAGCCCCTCTTCTTGGCTTGTAGATGGCCCCCTTCTCCCTCTGTGTATGTGTCTGTGTCCTAATTTCCTCTTCTTGTAAGGATACCAGTCATATTGTATTAGGGCCCCTCAATGACCTCATTTAACTTTAATCACCTCTTTAAATGCCTTACCATTCAAATAATAGTCACATTCTGAGATACTAGGTGTTGGGATTCATATGTTGAAATCATATGAATTTTAGGGGGCACAATTCAACCCATTATAGTTTCTTAAACAGCCCAAACTTGAGATGTGTGTTCTTTGGGTCTATGGCCTTCCTAGTATTTTTGAACTTTGAGAAAGGAAGTCAGCATTAGCTCCATACCAGTTCACTTACCCAGTTGTGCAGTTAGCTAATGTCAGTTAATTTTGGGTCTGTTCTGGCTTCACTGATTTTCATTGTTTTCAGTTAGAGTCCCACCATAGCTTAACTTCCTTCACAAGTCTGTTAGTCATCCATTATCTGTACATAAACCATGTTTCTTTATGAGTATAGCCAGGAGAAAAAAGAGAGCACTCTTGTAAATGTCAAATTTTGAGCACAAGGAAGACTGTGTTACATTACCTAATTCAACTTTAGACCTTTCATCTGCCAGCTGATTTCTTGGAAAAACAGAAGCCCAAGTGACCTGGGCTACCACATGTAACCCAAGCTCAAGGTCCATTGTAGGCAGTCAGAAAGTTGTTTTTTAAATGCTTCCAATGACACTTCATTCATATATGCCCAATCTACAGCTGGCAGAAGCCTTTATGCTTATTTTAGGAACAATTAGCCACCCAGATTATCACTGAATTGCTTTTCCTTTGTACTAAGTTGTATTTTCTTAGATGAAATAGCCCTTAGCTCTTGACAACACAAGGGCGATATTATAATCTGGTCACATTCCTCTGCTTATTCCCCTCGTACGTATCCTCTAAAAACTCAGTGCTCAGAATGAAGCCATCTAGCAAATCTCTCAAATTCTGTTGTTTAACATAACAGTGTTAGATGCTTTACATACTATTTAATATTTCCTTCTTCAGACTTGCCTTACAAAACTCAAATACTTTCGATCAGACTAGTCGTCAAAGAGAACATTCCATTGGCATAAAGTGTAAAGATTTTCTGCATGAAAGAATAATATAGAAAAACCAAGGCCGTATACTTCTTGTTTCTTTTTACTGGCTTATACTCCCTTGGAATTTCTATAGTCCTGTCATCATGTCATTGCCTGTGAAAGTCTTCCTCGGCTAGAAGAAATACAATAGTAACATAATACAAAATAAATAGGAATACAGTGCTAACATGTTTTCTTCTAGCTCCACCCCTTCCTCTACAATAGGGTGTCAAACCATCTCTAGGGCTTAAATTGTGAGTCTTGCCACCCTCATCAAAGATGCACTGCACATGCTCTTTGGGCATCTTTTTGCACTTGAGACTTGAGATATTTGTCAGTTTTCAGTGTCTTTCCTGAATTTATTCCACTTAATGGTTTGTAAAAGCAACAGAGGCCTTTTTGTTTGCTTGTTTGATTGATTACATCTGACATTTTCCTCCATGTTTCATTATTTTTGTTGTTTTCACCATGTTTTGAAAGACGGAAGAGAAGTTATAATATCTTTAATTTCACTGCCCCATTTTTAACCAGAAGTCACAGCATCACACTTTCATTGCATGTGTGTGCACCTTCCCCGACTGACAGGCTTCATGGAAGGGTTAGGGAGTCAATAATGAATAGGAGATGTGCAGCTTCACTGAATTAACCTACATTTATTTTGCCCACTGATATTTTATAGTCAATATTTAGTTTTCATAATCATCCTTGTTACTATGAGTTACTTTCCCTTTTATAATCAGTAGCCTTTTGTTTTTCCTGAACTTTTTGAATTCCCTCTGTTACATTTCTCTCCCTTGCTCTCTGTGTCTCTAATATTAAGAAGAATCCTGACCAATATTATCCAAAATACCTCTGTGCATGTTCCACTGTTTCTTACTCTGTTGTTTGACTTTTTTATCTATTTACCTGATTTTTCACTGTAATACACAGAAATTCATTCTGAGGCAAAAAAACAAACCCCACAAAAAGTGCTATATGGCTTCTTTGCAGGCCCCATTAATTTTATTATGAAGTCATATTTACAGATGATCTGCATTTGGTTCTTTATAAGCATTTTTAACCCCAAATAATTCTTTCATTAAAACATGTAATTTTATCATTTTCACCTTTCTTTCTCCAAGGTTACTCCCCAGCTTTCCTCTTCAATGTGCCCTTGTCTTTGCTGTGACCTCAGAGGTTTTCCCTGGCCATGTTTGTATCTCCTCCACAATACCTAGCTGCTCAAGAGGGTCTGGAATTCCACAGAAGTCTAATCACTTAAGATTTTTTTCCTTGTTAAAATGTGAACCCTTCTTGGAGTGATTCCACTAAGAATCACTTAATGAGATGCCATCTCTACTCTTCCTGGGGCTCCTGGCCTGGGAGGGAGGTGTGTGGCCCAGAGTGTTCCTTCAGAAGGACTGGAATAACCTTAATGTCCAGGACCTGATGGACACGTTATACCTATAGGAATCTGCAGTGTAAGATGCTTTTCATGTACAAATGGTTAATTATAATATTTGTAATTAAACACCTTTCATCATGTCGGTTGACAGTCAGAATCCTAAAGGGCAAATACCCAAGCAGCCTCCCTGTGTCCAAGAACCCTGGGCACACTCGAGCTTCCTAGGGACAAAGAGCCGCCACTTAGAACCTACCTGTGGTCCCCAGAAGCCCGCAGGCTCTGACCGGCTGTTGTCCAGCTGTGTCGCAGAGGACCTCCCCTGGTGCTTTCTCCTGGCTTCCTTCACCCCAAGCCTTTTGTTTGCCAGCCAGAAATTTGCAGGGAAACTAATATTATTTTGCTTCCTGGCACAGGGCAAAAAGGCAGCGGGTATAAAAAGGGGGCAGAGTGGCAGCTGAATATATCACATTTGCTCAAATTTTCCTGAAGCTACCCTCTTAGCCCTGAGCCTTTCCTGGCCCTCCCATTCTCTCTCTCTCGCCCTCTCTCTCACCTCAGCTGCAACTGTGGCAGCAAGAAAGACATGGGTAGGTTATCTAGGATTTGTATTTTCTCCTCTAATGCTTCCTCTGATAACGAGGTTAATTGAGAGTTGACAGTAATTGCTCTATGTGGGCATGAAGCACTAAACGTGATTTTGTGACCCATGGACCTATGCATCTACTTCATAGACTCAAGGATACGGAAACATAATGAAGCATTTCAGTCGAAGATAATTGGAGTAAAGTTTTGTTTGAGCATAACCTTGAAGAAATCAGGCAGGGTTGCTTGAATGAACATAGTATGTATCATCCTGATTTGTGTAGATTCCCATAAATGCAAAGCTGGCCTTGATTAAGAATGCTAATGGCCGGAAACCACCACTCCTCCCAGAGCCTCACAGCTCATTCTGCAGGGATAACCCCTGGGAGGCTCTTCTTACCATGTGCAGTTTATTTCTGAACCCTGTCACCCTTTTAAAGAAGCATTACAAATAATTCTATGACATTATGTGGTCTGGAAGCACTGAAGTTTATTAGGAGCAATCAAACCAAGAATGTCTTTTGTCTTCTGTGAGTTTGTTGACTTTTGTGCTGGCAGATACTATTCTAGCTAAGAATATAGGCTAGGGCTTCCAAACAAGAAAAAAAAATGATGAAGAAAAAGGGGTTGTGTAGCAAACAATGAGCATGATGAATATGAAATTGCCCCTTTGAAAAATCCTGAGTGTGTCTCCAACTGCTATCCAAAGCAGCCCCTTTAGTGACCTAGAATCATCACACATTTTCCCTTAATTCAAGTCTATGCCTCCCATTCATTTGCAACTACATAACACACATAATCATATCTCACCCTCTTCCCAGTACAGCCTTGTCCCTGGTGTGACTCGGGTTGCTACAGACCAGAAGGTGGGCTGTCATTAAACTAACCCTAACCAGTGGATAAATATGAGGATGTGTTTCTGTTAATAAGAGGAGAGGGTCTGAGAAGGCCCTGGAAATTTGGATCCGTTCTAACCTGGGAGGGAAAATCAGGGTATCCCGAGAAAACGAGCATGTGCCAGGATGAGCTTTTCTGGAATTTGGCCTTTTAATTTAACCTGAGCTACTTGTTAGGTAACTGGTGTGATAATCATGTTCTTGTAAAGACTTGAAGATTTTATACACATCAACCTTGTCTAGAATCCTTTAAAACTTGTTTTTGCTTGTGGTGGGGATGGTAGGGCACCTGCTTCCTTAGGTAACATATGGAAAATGGAATTTGAAATCTCAAAGGCAAACAAAATTTTGTGATGCATATAAATTTTGATCATTATACCCCAATAATTTAAAAAACATTATTTTCATTTCTGATTTCTAAATGTAAGAGATTGGCTTAAATGGAAAGCAGCTATATTAATTAATTGCTATATTGATGTCTGTTAATGGAACAGGTAAAGGAAGAGAATTTGATTCTACTTGAGATTGTAGATAAAAGGAAATACCTTTTCTTCTGTTTTCATATTATGGGGAAATTTTAGAAAGCATATTGTTTATTTTATTCTAAAAACTATGGATTTAATATAAAATATATATTTAATATCTGCTGATCCTCTCTTTATTAAATTTTCACACAAGTACCACAAATCAAACTCTTTTTCTATTTTCTTTAAGCCTTTGTTGATGTTTTACATTTCTTCAAATGCCCTTTTCCTTTCTCTTCACCTTTGAAGTAAAAAATATCATATCTGCCAAGTCATATTTTATGGCAAAACCCAGCT